GCATTTGATTTGACTTTGATTTATTATGATTAGCTTTAAACAAGTCTATAAGAGAAATCGCCCTCGTCAGAGCGAATAACAACGACTTCAGATCCTCCAATGGAACGCTAGAGAGATGTCACAGGACAAAAAGATCCAAGTCCAGAAAATCCTACAAACCTATGATGTAGACATTTTCACAATTATGGAAGCTAAAATTCCGGATGACAAACGGAAGTACTACTAATTCCCAGGTTACACCCTGTACCTTCTTCCTAAATACCGACAAGATGCGAGTGGAATTCTAACTGGAGTAAAAGAAGGCCTCACATCACACTACGATCTAATCAAGAGTATGGGCCCGACACAAGACATGTATGTAATAATCAGATTATGTGTTTGGAAATGTGAAATATGCAGTCTATAATCCACCCCAAAATTGTCATAAAGTTGTCTTTCTGAACATCCCACACAAAACCAAATATTAAGAGACTTCAACGCCCATTCCACCAGATGGGGCTACAAGGATACAAACATAGCTCGAAAGGAAACCGAAGACATGCTAAACAACAACCCCCTGGAACATATTTACAGCAATAAGGATCCGGCTACATATGTGCACTACAATGAAACCAGAACAACTCCTTTCTTACTCCTAACTTCAAACAGCATCAGCGAACATAAACGCCGCAAAATAATTGAAGACCCTGGTTCTGGTCACAAACCCGTCATTGCTAGTATTACCATCGGCAGCAAAAGCACGACAAAGAAAGTCCAAACTAAGCTATCATAGAACTTCAAGAAGCAAAAGCACGACAAAGAAAGTCCAAACTAAGCTATCATAGAAATTCAAGTAGGCTGACTGGCCTAGATTCCCAAACATTTTAGGGAATGAATTTCACACAAGTCCCCTCAATTCCAGCCAACAACCTGACAAACTTTGCAATGATATAACGAATATTATGATGAGATGGGTAAAGAAAACTATTTCCCGAGGCAAGACTGAAAACTATCGAGTGTTTTGGTCTAGACACCTTGGGGAACTGAAAAGAAACCTGGACGCCCTTCGCAGCACAGCTGTTTCCACTTTAATAACAGAAACGCACAACCCTGTAGACGACAATCAGGTGTCCTAAAGCAAGACAACCTACAAGCTAAACGGACTTCTTTCGACAAGTTCATCTTAAATATGAATTATCAAAATTATAGCCAACGCATTTTGAAATTCTTGGGTTGCCTCCAAAACACCATGGAAGGACACAAGAATGAACCAATACGATTTAAAACCAAACTGCCTACCATCGACTACGAAATATCTAACTGCTTTTAGAATTTTTATTCCCACAAGCAAAAGAAAAACCTTTTTGTCAGAAAATCTTCAAGAGATTTAAAGACACAAGTAAGACAGTTGGATTAAATTAAAGAAGACATAGCAACACCAAATAATGTACTAACTGAACCATTCAGACCTTGCAAACTTAATGCTGTGATAAAAAACTCAAATGCAAGAAATCTCCTGGAGAAGACGGTATTCATCCGGAATTTCTAATTAGAATGAGTCCAACAGCCAAGGAAAACATGCTGACACTTTTCAACAAAATCTGGGAGACCAGTCTCCGATGGAAAATTGCCATAGTAATACCAGTACCAAAAAAGGGCAGTTGCCATAGTAATACCAGTACTAAAAATGGCAAGGACCCTAGCAACTTTGACAACTATAGCCCTATCTACGGCAAAGACCCTAGCAACTTTGGCAACCATTAACCTATCTCTCTCACAAGCGTGCTAGTCAAATTTATGGAAAGAATGTTTAACAGGAGGCTTTTCTGGTTCCTTGAGACCAACAGTATTCTTAGGAGTGAACAACTATGGAAAGAATGTTTAACAGGAGGCTTTTCTGGTTCCTTGAGACCAACAGTATTCTTAGGAGTGAACAAGCAGGTTTAGGGCCACAAAGATCAACGAACCAACAAGTGGCCACTTTCTTCCAACACATCAACGATGTCATTGATGCATGAAATACCCTTACGGCTGTGTTCGTCGACTTTAAATTAGCACATGACTTAGTTTGAAAAGAGAAGCCAATTCTAAATCCAGAAAGATTGGTATAATGCCTAACATGCTAAACTATTGGGTGGAAAACTAAGTCATTGCCGTTTTTGTTGACGGATTCACTCTATACTTTCTTTTGTTTTGTTAACGTGGCCAGAGTATCTAACCTATATTTTTTTTCTTACTGTATGGGCTTCTAGGTTAATTAGTAAAAAATTTTTTTTAGTTCTTTAGTTTTGTTTTTATCCCAATTTAAAAATGAAAGAACAGGACGAGCACTTCCGACACATTTTATTGTATTACTTCCGAAAAGGCAAGAACGCATCGCAAGCACAAAAGAAGTTATGAGCCGTATATGGAGATGAAGCCTTAAAAGAAAGGCAGTGTCGAAATTGGTTTGAAAGATTTCGTTCCGGTGATTTTTCACTGAAAATTCACAACGATCTGGCCCCCCCAGTCGAAGTGGATGAAACACATATCAAGGCCATTATCGATTCAAATCGTCACAGCACAACACGATATATTGCAGAGAAGCTCAATGTGTCGCATTCATGCATTGAAAAAAAATTAAAAACCCTTGGTTATGTCAAGAAACTTGATTTATGGATCCCTCACCAGTTAAAGGAAATTCATTTGACGCAACGGATTAGCATCTGTGATTCTCTACTGAAACGCAATGACAATGATCCATTTCTGAAGAACCTAGTTACTGGCGACAAAAAGTGGATAGTTTATAACAATGTTACTCGCAAGAGATCATGGGTGAAGCAAGACCAACCAGCCCAAACAGTATCAAAAGCAGTGATTCACCAAAAAGAGATTATGCTGTCAGTCTGGTGGGGGGATCACAAAGGAATTTTGTATTTTGAACTCATGCAGCAGAACCAAACGATAAATTCAAATGTGTATGTTGAAGAACTCGAAAAACTAAAGGATGCAATTGAAGATAAGCGGCCGGCATTTTCAAATCGACGGAAGGGTGTTGTTTTCCATCATGATAACGCAAGGCCCCACACATTTTGGTTACTCGGCAAAAATTATTGCAACTGGGTTGGGATGTTTTGTCACACCCACCATATAGCCCTCACCTTGCGCCTTCGGATTGCCATTTGTTTCGTTCCATGCAAAACTCTTTAAATGGTAAAATTTTTAACAACGCGGATGACGTCGGATCACACCTAATTCAATTTTTTAATAGCAAAAACCAGACATTTTACGAACGGGGAATTTTTACTCTGCCAGAATGATGGAAAAGGTCATCGACAAGAACGGCCAATATCTAATTGAATAAAGTTATATTTTTAAACAAAAATTCCGAATTTGCCTTCTTATTTGAAATCGGCAATGACGTAGTTGCCAACCTAATAGCATAGTCTAATTGATTTGTAAAAATAACATTGTGTTCAGCCTCTTACTCATTTTCTGCTAGTATTAAGGAATGTTTTTCGCTTTAATTTAGACCAATTGTAAAGTATAAAACGTTACTCAAAGAAATAAATAATTTCTTAAGTTATAAAAACCTTTATAAACAGTAGTGACTTCCGCTTTTATATTGGATAAACCTTTTCCATTTTTGACACACTTAGATTAATTTAAAATTAGATGTCAGCTTTCAAATTTCCGGCCAAACACCATTTGTGTCCTCAGGTTACATGTGGATGCTTGCTTACTTCAATGTGAATACGAAGCTAAGCATAGCAAGATGTTACCTAAATGATACAGAATTTGACTTAAAGTATCAGTTATTGTGATTTTTTCAGTACCCTTAATCAAAACACCTTCCCTGCTTCAAAGCAAATGACTAAATAAATCTGCCTAGTTTGATGTCTCGGCGCTTT